TGATTTCAAAAAAATATATATATATATATAAATCAAGAAACAAATGAAGTATGAAAGGAAAGTGAGGAGAATCCATATTTTCATAAGTAGCGACATGCCTGGGTATGTCTTTAGCACATGACAGAAAGATTTTTTGAAATTAATGCAGTATTGATACATGTTGTAGATAATTTGTTCAAGTCTTCCTTTACTAATTATTCTTTCCTTTATTTAAAAATATGAGATAGGTGCCCACATGTACAGAGGAGAGACATATGAAAACTATTCCAGAAATAGGGTAAACTAATTTCAGTAGAGCTAATAAGAATTCCACATACAACATACAAATTTGTTTAGGATTTCTGACATTAGTAATACCAGAGGGCTTTAAAAATTTCTAAGAAAAATGCAATAGAAAGACAATGGAAAATGTCCATGAACCGCTTGAAGCCCTTGTATACCTGTTAAATTATTTTAAATATAGCTATTTATACATAATGGTGGGTTGCTTTACAAAGCTGGATTAAATTTAGCAGGTAGAATGGGCTGTAAAGATATGCGTATAATCTCTTCACTTAAAAATAAAAAGGTGTGTAAAGGGCACAAAAGAATATAACTGAGGAATGCACATATAGAATTAATTTCATAGGAATGATATTTCCTTTGGTAAATTTTAAATTCTCAGAAGTGTCTTATACATTAAGCAGAAGGTTATTTGTTTTATGACATGAAGTGACTCAATAATTAATCTAAAAACAAAGAGGTCTTTTAAAAACAAAGAGGAACTTTTAATAGCAAACTTTTAAAATTCTTTCCTAATAGCTCATTCCCAGTTGAGACTGAAAAAGAATTAAAAAATAGCTTTAACCCTATTTCAACTTACTTTAAGTAAATGTTACACATAATACTTTAACTCAACAATGGATCAATTGTTTTCTCTGAGGCACAGTTCTGCATGATTAGATTTCTAGGCAACTGTGAGTTTGAAACTTGTAATGTTGTATGGTAGAGCAACGGAAAGTTATGCAACTTACTCAAACACAAGTGTTGAATATCAATTTGAAGTCTTTCAAATACTGAATTTTCCTTTCTGTGTTTACCATCTACCTACACAAACAGAGAACCATATTACAACAATGACTTTATGTTAAGAAAGAACTTTATAAAAATGGAAGGTTTCATTGGCTTTCAATATTCAAAGCAAGGATAAAGCTTTTATCTCACTTTTAGTATTAAAAGTAGAATCATAAACAAATTTTAAGACGATATTCTTGGGTGAAAAATCCCCAAATAATATCACATTTTAGAGGGCTTGAAGCTTTTTTAACTATATATTTCATTTAATTCAAAAATTCCTAACTCAATGACAAAGGGACTGGGTGGGATTCACAGATGTTAAGAGACTTATGATTATCTTCCAGTTCCTTTTTATCGGGCTGTCATATACCATTTTGGGCTCTCTCCATTTCTTATTCTCCTTGAAAGCTCACAACTATGCCATACACATGTGCCAATGACTTCTAAATCTATTTCTGTGGCCCAGACTCCTTTGAGCAGCATGAGAAGACACATACCGGTGGTTGATTAGAGCTCGCCTTAAACTGCAAACTTGGCACATTCAGAAGGAACTCATCAAAGCCCGTT